TTATCCACTGGGCCGTATAACAAACATGTCATTCTCCACTTTGTTCTAGATGGTGACCAGCAGGGCATGAGGGACACAGCAGTGATTATTTTGATTGCTGCCTTTGATGTGCCCAAGAAATGATAACACAAAAGCCCAGGCGGTGGCACAGGAGCCAAAAGCTCATTAGTGACTAGCCGGGGATAATGGCCTTTCCCTTGTACGTGGGGTCTCAGAGTGGCCAGCACTCTGTCCAGGAGCTTGGGGGACACTTAGAGCCCTCTGAGTGGGTGACCCGGGGAGCTGGGTGTGTGGAAAGGGCCAGAAGCTTCTGGGTTCATCCCTTGCAAGGTCCGAGTGAAGTTGTCCAGCCCACGGGGTTCTGACAAGGAACAGCCTCTGTGAGGGCTCCCTCCCCATGAAAGGAGATGGTGTATGGTCCTCACTCACCCTCAGACCTGGGGCTCTTGAGTGCCAGGTCAGGGTCATGCCCCAATACCAGATATGGGACCCCAGGGACATTGGGTTGGACCCTCAGGGTAGTCTATTTTTTTTTTTTTTTTTTTGCTTTTTGGGTCGCACCTGACGATGCACAGGGGTTACTCCAAGCTCTGCACTCAGGAGTTACTCCCGGCGGTGCTCAGGGGACCATATGGGATGCTGGGACTTGAACCCGGGTCGACATGCAAGGCAAATGCCCTACCCGCTGTGCTATCTCTCCAGCCCCAAGTAGTCTCAATTTTTTATTAATAATTTTTAAAAATCAGCAGATTCTCTCTCTCTCTCTCTCTCTCTCTCTCTCTCTCTCTCTCTCTCTCTCTCTCGTCCAGGGTTGGGCTGGGGAGATAGGTCTGACAGCTAAAGCACATGCCTGATTCCAAGTTTTCCTGCCCGAGAATCTCTGGTGGCCCCCAGCACTGCTGGGCTTGGGCATTAACCTACTGGGTCTACATGACCAGGCTGAGACTTTGCCAAAAGTGACCTTCTGGGGAGTCCCGAGCACTGCCTGGGAGCCTTACTCCCAACCCCCATCCCCATCCCCACCCCCTCATCCCTCTCTTTCTAGAGTCTCTTGAAAAATGAAAGATTTGGCCATTGGTCAGGGCCATGCTGCTGCTGTGGGCTGAGCTGCAGGACTCTGGTTGCACCCGGTGCCCACCTCTCCTGGACCTCACGCTTGGTCGATCCTGTGGGTCTGGGTCCAGCAGTGGGAGCCCATGGCCGGAGGCAGGGTTTGCAGTGTCATTTACGATACAGTTCCCCGCAATCCCGCCTGAGGCCTCCGCTGTGCACCTGCCACCTGCGCTGAGCGAGGGGGAGCCGAGGGGCACGTGGTCAGCTCAGGAGCACCCGCAGCCTGGCTTGGGGCTGGCTTTGTTATCCCCGCTTCCCCCCTTCCCCGTACATGAACAGCCCGGCCTCTAGGACCACTTGAGTGGAGACTGAATTAGAGGGGCCCCCTGAGGTCAAGGACTTGATGTCTCCTCTTTTCCTTGGCAGCCGTCCCAGCTCCTGGCACAGGCCACCATGCCCAGGAGTATGTGCTCAGGGACAGACCGACGGATGGATGGCAGGCCGGCCTAAGAGGAGAGGCAGGGAAGGAGAGCAGTTTGGGGAAGTGCTGCTCTCGGTCCCTGCTGCTCTGAGCACCTGCCTTGCTGTGAGTGGGACTGGCAGGGGGCTGTGCTGCAGGCCATGTGAGCCGCGCCTCTGTTTGCACAGGGAGCTGCTCTGTGAGTGTGGCCGTCACCATGTGACAGCCACTCTTTCCTCTGGCTGCAAACCCCGAGACACTTGACTTCCCACGTGCTTTCCTTCCCTGTTCCCGGGCTCCCTGCTGCCTCCCTGCTTCCCTGCATTTAGAGTTTTGCGGTCAGAATGCAAAACTGGTGAAAAATGGCCTCTTGGAGCTGCAGAAGCAGCCAAGGGAGATGCTCGTGTCCATGTGGCCCTTGAGCAACCAGAGAGAAGCGAAGGAGAGTGACTGTGAAGGCTTAGCCTGGTCACTTTCCCGCGCCTGGACCTGTGATGCCATCTGCTGACTGTGCAGGACTGCTCAGGTCCACTCCCAGGGGTGGGCTGGGCTCACTCCCAGACTGCAGGGTGCTAGCCAGGTAGCCAGAGGGACCCCTGATAGATTGATTTAGGTTTTGAGGCTGCTCAGTGGTGCTCAGGTACTACGTGTTGTTACTGGGGATTGAACCAGGGTTTGTCACATGTGAGGCAGGCACCTTAATCCCTGTGCTGCCTCTCTGGTCTGAAACCTGAATTCCTTCTGAGTTGTGGTAGCTGAGACATTCTAGGGAGGCTTTGGAGACTGTTAACTCCTTGCAGACGGGGCCCCACACAGGCCTGAGGCCCCTGAGAGGGGCTCTTTGGAGCACTTGATGCACAGGTCATGGTGCCAAATTAGCATCAGGGGTTGACCAGAGGGAGAGTCACCCCTCAGTAGAGCAGACCAATCTGCTGAGACCTAGGGACATCCACATCAGGGCGGGGAGGGTGAGTATTCCAGTGTGTGAGTGTATGTGAGTGTACATGGATTATGCGAGTTACATATGAATGTGAGTGCATGTCTGAGTGTGGGTGAATGTGAATGTATGGATTTGATGTAGGTATGTATGTAAGTTCATGTAAGTGTTTGTGAGTGTGTGTGTGAGCTTGTGTGTATTCACACATGAGTGTATGACTGTGTGTGCTTGGGTGCATTCCAGCTGTGGAGATCAATACTGCCGTGGTCACTGAGATTCCTGCACGGGGACATGGGCTGCCTCTAGGCCTATGGGGCCTGGCATGGTGCCAGGAGAGCCCGGGCTGCCTCCAGTGATGATAACTTCCTGTGCTCCATGAGCTTCCCCAGAGAGCAGGAAGGCAGCAGGGCACGCTGAGTGCCCAGAGGTGGGCTTCTGTGAGACCGCTCAGGGGGCTCATACCCAGAGCCTGGAACGTGAGGCAGCAGAGACAGCTCAGGAGCAGCGCAGCCTCTGTCTGTGCCGTGTTCTGCTGCAGACGGCGCGCGCACATGCATGTAGGTGGTTTCCAGACGCAGCGACTGGCTGGGCTTTGGCGGCCGACTCCAGGATGCTGGATTGCATCCTGCTTGTGTCACTGTTGGAAGAGGAGGCTGAATAAACACTTAGCCTTCCCCACTAGCACGGAGTGCCTTAAATCTTGATTGTCAGTCTCGCCTGAAGAGAAAAACACCCTAGACTGACTGTTGTGTCCCTCATTTGATCCGCGCTGCCAGGAGCAGGTGGAGCAGCCAGACAATGAGGCTCTGTGTGAGGTGAGCAGGTGCCCCTGAGCGGCTGCGAGAGGCGCTCTTTGGGGTTGATGAATGGTGGTGTTGTCCCACAGGCTGGGCCCGGTGGGGGGTGGTTTATTCCCTCCCCCAGCCAGCAGTCAATGTCGGGCTGGTGGAAGAGTTGGAGAAGAGCAGGGCAGCCGAGTGAGGGCTCTGTGCTGAGCCTGAGCTGCCATGAGCCCTGGCCCAGAGCTGGGGGGGAGTTCAGAGGAGCAGTCAGGCATCACATGCTGGGTGGGAGCTGCAGGTGAGGAAGGGCCTGGAAAGGCAAGCGAGGGGGTGTGGACTACCCAGCACATTTTCTGCTCCATTTCCCACGTGAGCACGCTGCTTCTCAGGCCTCTCTGTGGGGCTCTGTCTGCAGCCCCTGGCTTGGGGGTGTTGGCCTCTCTCCGGGGAGTAGGGCCGAGGGAGAGGAGGTCGGCTGTAAGAGCAGAGGTTCTGTTGAGAGGGGCTCTTTGGAGCGGACAAGTCTGGGGCAGCCTCTGCGTTTGAGCGACAGTACAACTGCCCAGGGGGACAGCATGGGTTGAGAGGACTGGCTTACCCTCTTGCAACTCATGAATGCAGGGCTAGTGCCTGAGCTAGGGGTGTGGGGGTGTGAGAGAGAAGGTGAGTCAGAGGGCTCGGCCTGGGGTTCTGGTGCTCTTCAGGCTGAGGCTGCAGAGAGGCCAGCAAGAAGTACCTGCTGGGACTGGCAAATAACACAGTGGGGAGGACACTTGTATTTCCTGTGGCTGACCTGGGTTTAATCACCCGCACCCCTTATGGGCCCCTGTGCATGGCCAGGAGTGATTCCTGAGTGCGAAGCCAGGAGTAAGCCCTGAGCATTACTCGGTGTGGCCCCCAAACAAAAACAAACCAAAAAATTGAAATAGTTTTAAAAATGGAAAAGAGATGGTTTCTGCCTGAAGCTTTTGGACTTATCCCTTCAGAGCGGCTGACCCAGGAATGCTTTCCCCAGGGCAGCACTCAACTGTCTTCCATTCCCAGAGGAAGTGGAGATACCATCCCCACACTTTGGAGGGTGACCTTATCCCCTGAGGGGGTCTTGGGGGCTTCTCTTTAGAATCTGTGACCCTGCTCATCAGGGCTGGCTGCCTGCTTCAGAGCAGGGGCCCAGCCTCCATGTCCTCTGCTGGGATGCTCTGAGCATCCAGGATAGCTGGAGGGGGGGGGCACCTGGGAGTTCCAGGGGCCATCTGAGGAACAGGGCGTTCCCTAAGAAGACCCTGAGCTTGGCCTGATGGGAACCCCTCCCCATGAAGCACAAATGTAAGGGGGTCTGGCCAGACCTGCTTCTGCTGAATATAGAAGGAAAGTCTGGGTATTTGGGTAGGAGGCTACAGAAACAGACCCCCCCCCCCTCCAATCTTGATCTCTTAAAATTTTTAAGCTCCAGAGATCACTTGGAGCCCCTTCGGGCAGGCCAGGTGAGCCCTCTGGGGTAATAGCCAAGACTCCTGGGGGCCCTGAGCCGGAGGGAGAGGCGCCTCACCCGTCAGTGGTCCTGGCGCCTCACCCGTCGGTGGTCCTGGCCCTATGGAGCCCTGGGTGCAAGGGTGCATCCTCTGGATGCTGCCTCCAGATCTGCCCCTGTTCGCGACGTATGTCCTGAGCCATGCTGAGAATTCAGACCAGTGGCTCAGCATTCACCTCCCCCCGCCCAACCCCTCCCTGGAGAACTCACCACCTCATTCCCCTTCTCTCCTGGCAGAACGCGGAGCCGGAGCCACGGCCCCTCTCCCTGGGCGGCCATGTGGGCTTTGACAGCCTCCCCGACCAGCTTGTCAGCAAGGCGGTCACTCAGGGCTTCAGCTTCAACATCCTCTGTGTGGGTGAGTGTGGGGGTGCTGTGGGGAATGCCAGGGGGGTAGATGGAGGTTGGAGTGGTCAGGCTGCAGGACAGCTGCCCAGGCAGGGACTTTTTGGGAGAGTTGGGATGGGACTGGAGTTGGGGTCTCTGCCAAGGGTCAAGGATGGAAGGAAAATGGGATTAGGCAGGTGAAAGATCCTGTGAATGGTTTCTCTGATGTTTGGATTCATTTGAGTATTTAAACCCCCACTGGGGGAAAAAAATAAATCTACTGAAAAAAACTTGGAAAGAGAACATACATTTATACCTTGTGGCCACTGAGTTGGGCACTGTAGTTGTCGGGCACTGTAGTTGTGAGCCAAGGCTCCAGCAGGCACTGCACCTGCAGGGTGGTACCCTGAGGCTTAGGGGCCTCAGCGCCTGGGACTCCCATAGGCCCGAGTACTTTGCCAGCCCCTGTAGATGTGCCCAAACTCTGGCCTCTGGGAAGCGGGAAGCCATGTAGTGGGACACCCCTACATCCTGTCAGAATTCCCTGGAGGTGGGCTACCCAGCACAGGGCACTGGGGCCAGAGATTTTGGGAAGCTGCAGAGTCCAAGTGTGAGGGGACTGGGTCCCACAGAAGCCACTGGAGGCCAGTGTCCAGTGAGGTCTCTGCAGAAATCCGGCTTTCTCCTCTCCCTGAATTTTATACCCACGCAGAGCCTCAGGGGCCGAGCCAGCCTTTTGGCTTTATCTCTCCATCGCCTGCTCCCTGGCCTCACATGCAGGTGGAGTGGCTGTGCCCACCTTACCCACAGCCAGGACTACCTTGCTGCTTGCCCCTGTCACGTCCTCTCCTTACTCGCTGCCCACAGGGGAGACAGGCATCGGCAAGTCCACCCTGATGAACACGCTCTTCAACACCACCTTTGAGACCGAAGAGGCCAGTCACCACGAGGAGTGTGTGCGTCTGCGGCCCCAGACCTATGACCTCCAGGAGAGCAACGTGCACCTCAAGCTGACCATCGTGGACGCCGTGGGCTTCGGGGATCAGATCAACAAGGATGAGAGGCAAGAAACGGGATGGGTCCCAGTCCTACCCAGGGTGGCCACTGCAGGAGGCCAGGGGCAGCCAGGGGCGGCCTCTGGGGGAAGCGCCTGGGGTTCCTTTTCAGAGCGGGGCAGCTGCCTCCTGGGTGACGGAGTTTGTCTGTAGTTACAGGCCCATCGTCGACTACATTGATGCGCAGTTTGAAAACTACCTGCAGGAGGAGCTGAAGATCCGCCGCTCGCTCTTCGACTACCACGACACGAGGATCCATGTGTGCCTCTACTTCATCACCCCCACCGGCCACTCCCTAAAGTCCCTGGATCTGGTGACGATGAAGAAGCTCGACAGCAAGGTAGACTGGCCTCTTGAGCTGTGTCCTACAGCCCTCGCCAATGTGAGCCTGCTCCCGCCAGTGGCCACTGTCCCCTCGGGCTCCAGGATGGAGTCATGAGCTCAGCCTCTGGCCACTGCTTCTGACCATCTCCACTGCTTTTGCTGCTCTGGTGTTGTGGGCTCGCACCTGGGTGTGGCCTGGAGCCCCTCCCTTCATCCCTCCTGCCCTCCTTTCTCCCTCCCTCTCTCCCTTTCCTTCTTCCTCAGTCCTTTCCTTTCCTCCTTCCTTAGTCCCTTCCTTTCCTCCTTCCTCAGTCCCTCCCTCCCTCCTTTCTCCGTCCCTTCCTTTACTTCTTTCTCCCTCCCTCCATTCTCCCTCCCTCCCTCCCTCCCTTTCTTTCCTTCTTCCTCCCTCTCTCCCTTCCTTTCCTTCTTCCTCCCTCCCTCCCTTCCTTTCCATCTTCCCTCCCTCCTTCCTTCCCCTTCCCTCCCTCCCTCCTGCATGTTTCTGTACTCAGGGATGACTCCTGGCGAAGCTCAGTGGACCGTATGGGGTGCTGGGGATCCTGCCCAGCTTGGCCGCATGCAAGGCAAGCACCCTACCTGCTGGACTATCTACTGCCATACTTAGCCCCATCTTTCTTCCAGCCACATCATTTGCTTTTACTTCTGAAACTTTCTCCGGCTCTCCTGCCTAGAAGCATGTGTGGCCTGGATCCTCTTTCTTCCGGCTACATCGTTTGCTTTTTCTGATGTTTGGCAGCAACCAGTGAGGCTCAGGGGCTTCCCCAACTCTGTGCTCGGGGAGTCACTCCTGGGGTTCTTTGAGGCACCGTGCAGGGCTGGGAATCACTCCTAGGCCTCCGGCATGCAAAGCACGTGTTCCAGCCTCTTGAGTTGCCCTAAACCATTTTTCATTCTCACTTGCTGTCTCTTGCTCTTCCTTCCCTCCCCATCACTTCCCCCAGTTCTCTGTCTGCCCCTTCCCAGCATGCCCCTTCCCATCCGAGCTGAGCTTTGCTCCTGCATCCTAGTTCCTCTGCCCCCTTTGCTTCTTCTGTCCTTTCTTCCATGGTTCCCCCTTGGGTGCTCCTGCGCTCACTAGGGAGAGGGGTGTCCAGGCCAGAATTGGAATTTGCATGAGGTGTGGGTGTTGAGAAGGTGGTGAGCTGGGGTGAAAGGGTGTATATGGGGCCCCAAAGTCACCTGTCAGCTCCCATGTGGCTGTTCTGCCCAGATCAGGAGTTGATTTTTCACAGTGAAAATGGGACCACTCAGATCTGGGTGATTTTAAGGTCTTCCGGTGACTGCTGCTGGCAGCTCGTCTCACTGGCGGTGGGGCGCTCAGCCATTCCCTTCTCCTCCTCCATGACTTCTCTCAGGTTCAGTGTTATTAGAGCCATCAGGGTACCTTGGGTCAGAGCTGAGTATGCCCCAGGGGGACTAATTTGGGGACTGGAGCTGGGTTTGGGGGAGCGCAGGCCATAAGCACGACAACTGGTGCAGCCTGGGCTGGCTCTGCTTCTGCTCCCCTGCCCAGGGGCGTGTCCTGGCCAGGGCTGTGCCCTGCTGGGGGCTGCTGACCTGCTGCCCCGCTTCCCCGGTCTGCAGGTGAACATCATCCCCATCATTGCCAAGGCCGACACCATCTCCAAGAGTGAGCTCCACAAGTTCAAGATCAAGATCATGGGCGAGCTGGTTAGCAACGGCGTCCAGATCTACCAGTTCCCCACCGATGACGAGGCTGTGGCAGAGATCAATGCAGTCATGAATGTGAGCACAGGCTGGGCCGCTGGGCGTTGGGTCCCACCTGTGCTTCTCCGGACGGGTGGGCTTCTGGGCCCTGAACAGGGCCTGGGGAAGCAGGTGCTGGCCCCATCCTGGGGCATCCCCAGATTTACAATTCATAAACTGTGGGCTCAGGGCGGACACCTGCATCCTGTAGGAGCCTGGGGACTTGCTGTAAGCCAGGCCCACAGGTGCTTCTTGGGACGTATCTCATGGTCCCCAGGGGGCCCAGGAGCTGACAGCTCTTTCTCGGGCAGGCCTTCCTAAGCTTTTTCCACTTGCAAGTCTTGTTCACCTGAGGAATATTTTGCACAGGGTTTGCCTGGGGGGCGGGGGGGGTCACACCCAGTGGTGGTCATTCCTGGTGGGATTCGGGGAACTCTTATGTGGTATGGGGGATCTAACTGGGATCAGCGGCATACAGGGCAGTGCTTTACCAGATGTACTATCTCTCTGACCTTGCTTGAGAAAAAAAAATTATTTATTTATTTTTATTTTGTGCCACATTAGTCAGTTCTCAGGGCTAATTCCTGACTGCTCTCGGGGATCACTCCTGGTAAGCTCAGGGGACCATATCGGGTGCTGGGGATAGGTCCCTGGTTGGTCATATGCAAATCAAGTGCCTTCCTTGTTGTACTGTCTCTCTGGCCCTGGCTTGAGAAATTTTTACAGAACCCTGAGTGTGTAGGTAGATAATAGAGGTATATGGATTAAACTTATTACTGATAATCCATCATAAAGAAATTAATTTTAAAACATGTTCATGGCTGGAAAGACAGCACAGTCACTAAGGTGCTTGCCTTGTATGCATCTGACCCAGGTTCAATTTCCAGCCCCACCTACCGTCTTTTGAGCCCCGCCAGGTGTAAGCCCTGAGCACAGCCAGGTGTAGCCAAAAAACCCCTCCCCCCAAAAAATGTTCTTTAAATCTTCCCCATGAGGGATTGTGCCTGAATTATTATTGAAGATACCGGGCTCCGGATGGCAGGAAGGGGCTGTGGGCCTAGTGCTCTCCCTTGCTTAGAGGTTTCTGGATATTTCACTAGAAGCGAGTCAGAGCGTGAGCCCCTGGCCAGGCTCCGTTCAGTTGTGGATTCTCTCCCTGGACCCCAGGAGACCACGAGGGGCCCCTGTCCCTGCCTCTGTCACTCCTACTCACGTGTGATGGGCCCCTTTGCAGGCACACCTGCCCTTTGCTGTAGTGGGCAGCACCGAGGAGGTGAAGGTGGGCAACAAGCTGGTCCGAGCACGGCAGTACCCTTGGGGAGTGGTACAGGGTGAGTGTGGCAGCAGGGGAACCCCAGCTGTGTCCCCTGCCCAGTGCCCACACCCCCCTCTGTTGCCCACCCTCCCCCCACCTTCTATTGCCCGTGCCCTCCCCACCCTCTGTTGCCCCCCACCCCGACCCTCTGTTGGCCACCCCAAGCATTCTGGCCAGTGTCCCGAGCCCTGTCGTGCCCCTGCTCGCCTCATGCCCCCATGCCCCGCGCACTCTTGCTCCCAGTGGAGAACGAGAACCACTGCGACTTTGTGAAGCTGCGGGAGATGCTGATCCGCGTGAACATGGAGGACCTGCGGGAGCAGACCCACAGCCGCCACTACGAGCTCTACCGGCGCTGCAAGCTGGAGGAGATGGGCTTCCAGGACAGCGATGGCGACAGTCAGCCCTTCAGGTGACCGCCCACAGCCCCTGGCCCCGCCGAGCCCCCTCTGCTGCCCCCTCCCGCCTCAGCCCACCCTGACCTCTTTCATCGGCCCCTCTGCAGCCTACAGGAGACCTACGAGGCCAAGAGGAAGGAGTTCCTGAGTGAGCTGCAGCGGAAGGAGGAAGAGATGCGGCAGATGTTTGTCAACAAAGTGAAGGAGACCGAGCTGGAGTTGAAGGAGAAGGAGAGGGAGGTGAGCGCAGGGCCGGGGCGGTCAGCAGTCAGGCACCTTCCCTGCCCACGCCGAGCCGGGCCCCTCACCGTCCTCTCTTCCAGCTCCATGAGAAGTTTGAGCACCTGAAGCGGGTGCACCAGGAGGAGAAGCGCAAGGTGGAGGAGAAGCGCCGTGAGCTGGAGGAGGAGAGCAGCGCCTTTACCCGCAGGAAGGCCGCCGTGGAGGCCCTGCAGAGCCAGGCCCTGCACGCCACCTCGCAGCAGCCGCTGAGGAAGGACAAGGACCGGAAGAAGTAGGTGGTGGCCTCTGCCCCCTGCTGCGCTGTGCGCCCGCTGGCACCCACGCGGCCTCGCTCCCTGCAGCTCGGTCCCTTTGGTTCTCTCCCTCTCTCTCTCTCTCTCCCTCTCTCCCTCCCTCCCTCCCTCCCTCCCTCCCTCGCTCCAGATTGCTCACGCTGCCCTTGCTCACCTTCTCATTCGCTTTGCTTCTTCCTTCACTAGTGATTCTGTGCTCAGGGTCCACCCTTACTTCGGGCGCCTGCTTGTGCACAGGTGATCTCTCCCTCCTCTCTCTCTCTCTCTCTCTCCTCTTTTTCTCTCTCCCTCCTCTCTCCTTTCTCTCTTTCTCACCTCTCTCTCCTTCCTCTCTCTTCTCTTTCTCCCTCTCTCCTTTCTCTCCCTCTTTACTCTTTCTCTCCTCTCTCTCCCCCCTCCTCTCTTTCCTCTCTCTTCCTCTATCTCCTTCTTCTCTCTCCCTCTCTTTCTCTCCTCTCTCCCCCCTTTATTTTTCCCCTCCCCCCTCTTCCTCTCTCCTCTCTCTCTGTCTCTCTGTCTCTGTCTCTCTCTGTCTCTCTGTCTCTCTCTGTCTCTCTGTCTCTCTCTCTCTCTCTCTCTCTCCTCCCTCCCCCTATTCTCTTCTCTCTCCAAGCTGGGTTGTGTGTGTGTGTATGAAGCCTGGGTCTCACCCCGATGGCAGCGGATTTCCACACTCAGTCTCCTAGCTCCCATGATTAGCGCCAGGATGGCTGAGCCGCATTCCCATTCAGTTCCAGGGGGTGCAAGTGGACACCTGTCGTGCCTGGCAGCCAGTGACTAGAGCAGCTTGATGTGGACTGGTTTGAGATCACATGTTGACCCACGGGAGGGCAGCGACTCCATTGGAGGTTCTGGGGGCTGCTCTGGAGAGGGGCTTTCTCTCGCGCAGAGGTTAGGGCTGTTGCAGGACAGAGCAAGTGGGGATGGGGGAAGGAAGGGGTCCCACCCCACAGTGCAGGCAACCTTTGGCCAGGCGGGGGCGACGCTGAGTCACTTCTGTTTCCGCACTCTTGGCCGCAATCTCACTGGCTGGAGGGGGGCTCTCTCCCATTCCCACCCTGCTTCCTTCTGTGTGGGGACCTCATCCCTGCTCTCCGCCTTCAGCCTGTGCCAGGTGCTGCCTTCTCTTGCCAGTCTGCAGCTGCGCAGGTGTGCCTGACCAGGCTCTCTTTCTTGGGCATGGTGGAATCCCATTTCCTCTTTGGACTTTTGGGAAAGTGTGTGCCCAGAGCCGTCCTTGGTATCAGTGGGCCTGTGGCTCGGGCTGTACTGTGCGTAGCAGATGTCGCCCTGGATCCTGCTTCTGGCACTAACCCTCCCCCTCCTTGCTACCCCAATGTTGTTCTCCCTAATGTGCACACACCGTGCGTGTTTGCCGTTGGATTCTCTCTCCTGTGTCCCCCCCCACACACACCCCCGAGGCAGGCCGGGGCATGTGTCTCCCTGCAGACACAGCCCCCTGGACACACAAGCACAGACACAGCAGAGGAAAAGAAGCTCAAAGGAAAGGTCTGGGGGAGACAGAGGGGCCAGGGCCAGGCGCTGAGGAAGTCAAGTGTTATTCTTGAGGCCTGTCTTCTGCTTTGGGACGAACCCTGCTCTTCGTCCCCTCAGTCTCTCCCTGTCTGCCAGCCCCGCAGGTGCCTGCCTGTACCCGGGGAGGCCTCTGCTTTCCCCTCGGCTTGGCTCTGCATCCAGCCCTGTCCCTTGTCCAGCTCTGGGCTTGGTGAGCAAGTGTGAGGGCTGTGGTGGGGGCCTGCATGGGTTTCAAGTCGGGGCTCAGAGTTCTCTGTTCTGGGATTGTGACCCAGGTGAGGGCCCCGAAACCTCTCTGCATGCCCCCATACCCTTGGTAGCTGGTTAATGAAAAAGTGGGCACTTGTGCTAGGAGCACTCGGGTCACAGCTGAGCACAGGGGTGAGGCATCTGGAAGGGTTTGAGTGCAGCCCTGGGGAGCCAGGGGGAGTCACGGGCTTGGTACCCCCAGGGGCACAAGACTTTTCTGTTTGCTGGACGTACGGGAAAGTATCAGTCAGTTGTGCTGGCTCGGGGGAATTGGGTGGCCGGGCACACCCCTTCCTCCCTCCCCAGTCTGGGAAAGCGGGGAGTTATCTCTGCGTTTTGGAGGGTGGGGTATTGTTCTCGTGACCATTTACATTTGTGACTTTGGTTGTATTTTTTTTCTTTCTCAAATTTTAATCCGTTTCTGCAAAATTACTTTCCAATCAGATCTTGACCCCCTGCTCGGAACACCACACACTGAAGTGAATTCTCTGCTTTGCTCGTCACAAATGCCCAACTGACTGCCCTTTCCCCAGTGTCCGGCGCGCTGTCGTTTGCTTCTCTTTGGTTTGGTCGTCTGCGTATCTTTTAATGCATCTGTTTTTTTTTTTTGTTCTGTTTGTTTTATTTTTATTTTTCAGTTAACGCACGCACAGACTTACATGTCAAGAGCGGACTTTAGACTTTCATGTGTTAAGTTGCTTGAGTTCCACCTTGTGACCCTTCTCCCATAGCGTGGTGTGAGGACGGACGGGAGTCTGTGGGAGCTGGTACAGACTCCGTGTTTACAGCCTTGCTTTGGCCCCAAGCCCCTCAACTCCCCTGCTCCGGCCCAGGCTGCAAGCCTGGAACACCCCCTCTATGCAAACTCGTCAGAGTCCTGAATGCTGGAATCCCAGACTGATGAGATTTATTTTTTTCAGAGCCAGTGGCTGGTCTTCCATTTACAGTGTCACGATTCCCTGACGGAGCCACTCTGTGCCACTAGAGAAGGTGCCCGGCAGGCCGGTGAGGCACCCTCCCGAGGGAGGCCTGGACCCCTGGGACCATGCTGCACAACAGGCCCGATTCCTTGCCTGTTAAGTTTTCTAACCTAGAGCTTTATTGCAATAATACCTTTTTAAAACACTTCTAAAGTTTTTTTTTATTTTTGGCACAGTCAACACAAATAATAATCCTCTCCCTCCCATTATTTTCTTAAGTAACACAGATTCCCTGATTTTTTAAAAACTAAAAAGTGCTCTCAGCCTTTTTTTATGTATAAAGTCTCCCTCCTGTCGTCAGGGAGAGGTGATAATAAATGTCCTGTGGTGGCAATGTTTGGAGATTTCTTTCCCAGTGACCGTGGAGCGTCACCAAGACCACATGCAGTGCTTTTCCTGTGAATGTAAATGGAACAGCAGCCTCAGTGCCATTGTCTTCTCCCACGGTGCTGCCTTCACATGGACCGTGTGTGTGTGTGTGTGTGTGTGTGTGTGTGTGTGTAAGTGTGTAAAATATTTGACTCCATCCAACCAAGACTCTCCTCCCCAAACCAATCCTGCATGTTTTAAATGTAAAGAGGACTCAGCTGGAAAAAGGTTTTTTTTTTTTTTTTCTCACTTGAGGTCATTGTTTCTCCTTTTGTGGCCAAGTCACAGGGCCAAGAGATGAAGGTGTCATTAATGTATGTGGACAATTTAAGGAAAAACAAACAAACAAAACCCTGTTGGCCCAGCAGCTAACCCCTTTCTGCTGCATTCTTAAAGAGAACACTTTAAGAAAGGCCCAGGGATGTTGATTCTTCTGTGTTCCTGTTGGTTTGCAAGCCACTAGGGGTATCAGGGTTGAAAATGTGGCCTGGTAAAATGGGAGATGAGAAATGAAAAGACGAGGATTTCAAAAGCTCTGTGCTGGGCGCAGCCTCAAGAAGCTCCCAGCCCCATATCCCTGCTAGCTGGAGGTCTCAGGACGCTGGATTGGGAGTTTAGGGCCTATTCTGCGTATTCTTCACCTGTCCATTTCTCCCCTCCTCTCTGCCCAGATCTGACCAAGACCTGGCTTCCTCCTGCCTGTCTGAGATTTCTTCCATTCAGAAGGGGCCGGAGAGGTCAGTTGTGTATGTCCACTGAGGCACCGCCAGAAAAGAACAGTTTTGAGTCCAGAGGGGGTTCCGCGGCTGACAGAATAGGGTCCAAATGAACATTCTCCAGGTCTTACGCTATGACCAGGGGTGTGCCCAGGTTTTGAGGTACTCGAAGCCTGAACTATTTGAGAAGCTGTTGTTAAGGTAGAGAATGAATATAAAACTAGGCAAAGGATGCTGGAGGTGCCTGAAGATTAAGCTTCATCAGCTTCATAGTAAATCCCCCTCTGGGCAAGAGGGTAGCAGCCTGCTCCTGTGCAGTCTCCAGGAAGAGCAACCAGCCACCCTGTTAGGGCAGGCAGGGATGTGAATGGCTCATCTCTAGGAGATGTCCGCGTCTGACTTCTATGTCTGCCAGTGTCCAGAGCACGGCCTTTCAGAAGGCCTGTGCAGGTTGACTCCAGAGATGAGGCACAGGGACCAGCAGGTTTGCTGTCCTATAAGAAGTGAGGACCCCAGTCCCCGGGCCACCTGGGAAGACTGGCATGAGCAGATGCTGCCACCTGCCTGCCCACCATCACCTGGGCCTCCCCCTCCCCTGCACCCTCATCCCTAGCACCCCCTTCATGGTTGTGTTCTGAGGCCCCAGCTGCCCTGCAGGCAGTCTCAGTGTAACTCTTGTGTTTGGGATTCTGTCGTTGTTAACTGAGACCAAATCAGCCCTCAGTGCTCCAGGGAGCCTTGAATCAAGAGCTTCTCATGGAATGGGGGAACCCCCCGGCACCCCCCACCCCGTCACAGGGTCTGCTCCTCCCATTCCTTCCCTCACTTTGTCAGGATTGCCCGAGGGATCATGTTAGGCATCTCCTAGCGTGTTTTTCATTCATCATGTTGACTTTGGGTGGAATCACCATATAATTTATTATTCAAACTGAGGCATTTGAAGAGAACAGGGATGTTAATTATGCCAGATCAACAGGCGTCAGCCTGAAGTGTCTCAGGCAGACGGGGAGGCGTGGTCCCCCTGGCTTTGGGGATCTGAGTCTAGGTGCTTTGCAGCTGTGCAGACTGACTGCATGTACGTCTGTGTCTTTCTCCCTCCCTGTGATGTGGGGCTCATTACTGGCTGAGAGGCCCGAGGGAAATGTGACTCGCTAGTCTGTTATGTTATCATGCTTTTCTGAAACTGCTCCACGTGTTAATTCATTTACTTCATCGTTGACTGTTTTTGTTTTCTCTTCACTTTGTACTTTTTTTTCCATTAAATTTTGCATTTATTTTGAGTTTTTGTCGTGTTTTTTTTGCTCAATAGCTTTTCTGATTTAACAGGTTCCTTAGTATTAATTCACTATGACTGTGGTAAAATACAGCTTGTTTTTTTTTTCTGTGAACTTTGTGGGGTTAATCACCTTCTAATAGGAATCATTTTCAAAGAGAATCATTGCAGGGGCCGGGGGGGGGGGGGGGTCTGTGAAAGGCTCTTGAGTGGGTTTAGAATGGAGCAAAGAGCCCTGGTTAGAAGTTACAGCCTGGGAGCCTGTCTGAAACTGTGACTGGGCAGCTGGAAGGCAGCCCCTGCCCCAGAAGAGTTTCTATCTTATGGTGGTGACTTGACATGCAACAACTCACTTTTGAGTTCTTACTGTGCAGGTGTATTTAGAGTGCATTTTTCATAATTCTATGGCTGGATGCCTTTCTTTCCAATTCACAGGCAAAGCACAGAAAGGTTAGGTATATTTAGCCAAGTTCACACAGTTAATAGCTGGAGGAATTGGGATTTGGACATTGGTAGCCTTCACCCTTTATGCCAGAGCTGAGCTGCTCGCTGGCGACTCCCGTGGGTGAGGGAAGAGCCATGGAAATGTGGACTTTAAAGCATGTAGTCTGGCAGGGGGCTCTCGAACCTGGCATAGAGGAGAGCCAGGGATTGCTGTGGCGAGGAGACAAATATTTGAGAAAGAGCAGACTGATGGAAAGTGATGATAAGCTCATGGGACATACATAAGTTTAGGAGCTTTGTCTGTTTAGATGCTTTTTCTGTTGGGCACTAAACAGATACTAAAATGAGATGGACCAAGGTTGGGAGCTGACATCTAGACCTCCAGACTGGGAGGGAGGCTGGGATGTAGACATCTCATGAAGGGACAGCACAGCTACACCTGGGGGAAGGCAGGGAGCAGAAAGCAGCAGCATCAAGCTTTGAGGGACAAGGGAGAAGGGCCTTTTTAGAGGGAGTGTCACTGACCCTGCTCCAGCCACCTGGTAAAGATCCCTGATGCTCACCTGCCATGCACTTCCCCAGCCCATCTGCCTTTCCCTTTCCATAGCATCTGCCTCAGAACCTCTCCCACCTCCATCCTCTGCTGCCACAGAATGCCACTCATCACATTGGTACTGGGGACAAAAGGAAGATGGGTGTGTCCCTGTTTCTCCCACCACAGTGATCCCCAGTTTTTGTTCTGAATTCCTGGTTTCAGGAAAAAATGTTAGAGGATGGGATATAGAGTCAAAGCTTGAATAGCCTTAAAATGTTTTCCTAAAACTCACAAACAGTATTTTGGCGATGTGAGTATGAGTCCCACAAGAAGAGTTCTATTATTTACTGAGAGATGGAGCCACAAGGCTGTTCCTTTCGCCAATACTGGGACTCTCTGGTCTACCTTCTCTCCAGGAGTCAATGTTGAATTAGTTCCGTGTGCAGAGCTGCTAACTGGTTAAGAGGTACAGATTCCCAACAATCTCCAAGTCAGCGTCTCTAATGTTGAGTCCCCTGCAGTACCTGTTGACAGGAAGGCTGTGGTTTAGCATTGATGCTGTCCATGTCCTTGTTGGGCTAGAGCAGGCTTTCCCAACCTTGACCTTCCGCTGACTCCAGTCTGTGTACATCTACTGCGGGGTGTCAAGAACCGTCCCTCTGGTCTTCCGTGCATCATCGAACTTCATCCCAATAACCATCCCATGGGGGAAGAGGGGGATTAATTACGTGGGAACAATGTGCCCCGGAAAGATTGATTAGTTTACCCAGGGCTTCACAACCAGCATAGAATCAGAGAATTGGCCACCGCACAGGTGCTTTTCATGACTCCGGAGTGGACTGGGGTCGCCCCTTGATCAAATACACTGAGAACCACCGGTGCCAACCTGCCTGCACTCACTCCTCGCCCCCCTCCCCACCCCTGCCAGGTGCTCACACACAAAGACACCTTACAGGTGACAATGCCTGGGAGGCCATGGGGCCATGAGTGGAATGACAACTCGGGTCTGGGCGCTGGAGGGACACACACCCTGCCTGTGCCCTGACTCGGCCACCTAGGCGACTCCCAGTTGAGAAATGCTAGACAGTTAACAAAAGAATCCAGGAGGTGGTAATTAATATTTGTCTCCAGCAGATCTAAAGGCATGGTGCCCAATACATAGGAAGTAAAATTCAGACAGCATCAAAGGGAATGCAAATTTATGTATTTTTAAGAACATTTCAATGAGCAAGTGTGTTAAAAAACAAAAATGTTGACTCTACAGCCAGAGAGCTGTTCCTATGTAGCTGGGCCTTGAGCATTTTGCACCTAGTTGCAGGTCATCCTTCCTGTGGCTTAGTATATTTTCAGCAAACCCTTCAAAGTGGAAAGACTTTCACAGGCCATCTCTGATGGGTACCTTGGTCATTCACGGCCCCTGCACATAGCTCTGGCTTGCATCTCTGCCAGCTGATCCCGACTGCTCCGAGAATGGCTCCTCGGTGTCAGGCTTTGGAGCTGGCTTCTCCCTCACTGCATGCGAGGATCCCCTTTCCTGGCAGCACAGCGATTGGCACACAACTGGGCCCCCAGACCTGCTCCTCTCAACAAATAACTGCACCACTCCATCATCTGATAATACTACTCTTTAGCACACATATCCCACAAGTCAAACCAAACTACTTTGTGTGAGAATAACAATGAAAAAAGAGACTTAGAGCTAGATCAAGTTACTGTCCAGGAGAGAGGCACACTTTCTAATCCGGTCCTTGTGAAAAGAAGGCTTAGTCTCAGCCAAGTCAGGGTAAGTGAGCTGCCAGAGAGTATGCCCCCTAGTTGAGTGGTGAGCAGGGCTGGGGGCCCCTTAATGTGTGTGTGTGTGTGTGTGTGTGTGTGTGTGTGTGTGTGTAGTACCTGGCTACGAATATTGGAGAGACCTGGCCAGCTTGGGGGTGGGGAGGGTGACAAAGGCTGATCTGCTCCACATCTAGCTTCCTTCTTAGCCCTTCAGGGTCCAGTCCTAGCCCATGCTGGAGAAAGGGATCGAAACTGTGTAATAAGTGTTCAGTCCTCCCTCCCACCCCCTCAGGCACAAAGGAGAGAAGGAGTCAGGGCCCAGATGTGTCACTACTCCCACCTCTAGGACGCTCCCACCTCCACCCCTTTTTTCTTGCTAAGGACTTTTTCAGTTGCTCCTGCTGGTCTTTCCTTCCCTTTTTTAGTTGGGAAACTCATAAGGCCTTCACTTCACTGGGGTGTGAGGAAGGGTTGCCTGGAAGGGCATTGGGGCGCAGGCTGGCAGGGGCAACAGGAGGTGGTCTGCTACAAGGAGATCTGCAGACTTCTCAACAGCTGCTGTACGAGTTCCTTGCAGTGACCAAATTCTCCAATGCTGATCTATAATTAAAGCAGAGAGGGTAGCCTGGCAGCAAAACCATTTTATTTCCTAAGGTGGGGAGCAACTGAGCTCCGCAAATATTAGTCTGGAGTAACTGCATGAAGGTTCAACCCCGTAACTTAAAAGCACTAATCCCCATCTCAGAGACGTCATCTCTCCCCTCAGTAAACCGACCACTGTTCTAACTATGTATCACATCCTACCCTGTTCATCCTGAGGTTTCTGCACCCGTTGGCCTCCGCAGCCCCATACTCAGCTTCCCAAGTAGTAAAACGCTCCCATGCGGACCAGGGAAGGGCACACTGTCCCACACTCAAGTCCAGGGGGATGCTGAGTGTGGGAAGTCTTGCCTTTGTGCTGGGGTCTGGCAGACTCTGGAGCGGGGTAGCGAGTATCAGCTAAGGGGACAACGTTGATGTCTACCTGTGCTTTCTTTAGCAGATCAGATATAGGAGTACAGCAGTCGGGCATGAGCCTCTCCAACTCTAAGGTGATGATGACCAAGGCCAGTGTGGAACCCTTGAACTGCAGCAGCTGGTGGCCCGCCATGCAGTGCTGCAGCTGCCTGGTCAGGGACGCGACGTGGAGGGAAGGCTTCCTCTGAGGCAGCAGCTCTTTCACTTGGGGCCGGTCCAGGGCCACCAGGGCGTGGAACTGGGGATGGTGGTTTTTAATGTTAGAACAGAGCCCCCTACCCCCTACTTTTCATATATCCATGACCAAAAGTGCAAACAATTTCCATTTCCATCAGGGAAGCTCAGATGTTGCCCAGTCCTTTTCATTCCCATCTGTAGCACCTACCCTCCCAGGGGCTGGAGGCTCCAGGCCCCTTCGGCCACCAAGCTGGGCTTCAACCTTGGAGAAAGGTAAAACAGCCTGCTTGGTGCCACGGCCCTGACGGGCCTCAAGTACTTAGAGGACAATGTTTCTATTCTGAAAAGTGGAAGCTGTGAGGTAGAAGATTAAGGCAGCAGCAAAGTTACTTCGTATCTACCAGACTCAGATGAAGCTCTGTAGTTTGGCAACAGTGGCCAGTTTTCATAGTGAATCAGCCCTTCGTGATTTAATCTTCATGCTTCCTAACAGACCAAAACCCCATGACATTTCCCCATTGCATAATTTTGCCTTACTAACAGAATCATATCCTGAAGGATGACCATCATCCCCTAACTAAAGTACAGATTTATAGGGTATTTTTTAAGTGCCAGATCAATATGGTCTAAAGCCTCAATAAGGATTGTGTGTAGGTGAACAAAGACAGCTCAGTGAATGTGTGTAAAGTGTAGCGAAAGATGACAGCTTTTTATGTACAGTATTCATAGAATGGAAAGTTAAATATTTTTGCAGTGTGTATTTAAAAGAGAGATTCACCATAATAGTGCCGTCTAAAACCTCTGTAAAGTAGTTTCACTGTCCTTGGGGAATGGGTGTCTGGTGGGACTGTGCTGGGTTACAGATGCATTTGCCTTGCTGTGGTGCGTGTGTGACACCTGTGCCCGCCGTCCTGTGATGAACAGCTGTTCCAAAGGCACAGATGAGTCTGGGGGAGACTCTGCCAACTCCTCATACTCACCACGACCAAGAATTCCATCGGCGTCCCAGTATAGAGGTCCCAGTGCCGTGTGTCCAAAATAGCCAGCTCCATCCTCAGCAGTTCATTTGGGGTATAATTAGAGCCATAGTGCTTTATGAAGTCTTTTACGCGTGGAATTACCTGTAAAAAATAATAATAATAAAGAGGCCAAAGTCCTATATCATGCCATGGTAGCTTTTGTGTTCTTATCCATGGGGACTGGGCATCCACGACCCGAGTAGGGTTGGCTTCCAGTGGCCTGCCACAGATAATGCTTCTGAAAGAAAAGTCAAACCAGATCTATTTGTCTGTGTGGTCCATGGGTTGCTGTGACTCTGTGTAGTGAACGTCACGGGTTATTCTCTGCAAATGGGTTGTGATTCCTGACTGGCTCATGTCCAAAGCTGTTTGGGACGTGGGATGAAGCCGTTTGCCCTGCTTGACTGACGATCTCACCCCAGCAACTCAGGAGCCATGCACAGGCTGCAGGCCTGTTCCTGACCCTTATGGTACTTGTCATGAGGGAGCAAGAGAGGGAGCAAGCATGCAAGTGAGCCTCTTGCTTTCCTGGCTGCTCCAGACAGGCACACTGATAGAAACCTCCCATAGCTTCGCACAGCCACAGCTGCAAACACATTCCCTTCAACCTTGCAGTACTGCAGCTCAGTACTGGGAAAATTATCCTTTTCCAGGAAAGACTAGGAAGTCTCTGAATAAACATTCAAGTACCAAGTGCATTGTAGACCTGATATGACTTTAGATAAGCAAGGTACTATAATAACTTCCACAAGTACTTTTTTGGGGGAGGGGAGTCACTTGGGTCACTCCCGACTTGTTTCTTGGGGGCTGCTCCCAGAACTGCTCAGAGCTTTAGGCAGTGCTGGCCATAGGGCCCAGCCCACATGCAAAACACACAGTCCTTTGAGATTACTAACAAACTCCAGAAGGACTTTATTGGGTCATTTCCTTGATTTTTAATTGGACAGAAGCAATAAAATTACAGTCAGATAAATGAGGGTTAAAGGCCTTTTCTTTTGCTGCTTTTTCAGTTTGTTTGGATTCAGGCCACACTTAGTGGTGCTCAGTGTTTACTCCTGGCTTGTGCCCAAGAGACCATATGGGATGGCAGACATCAAACCCAGGTCATCCACGTGCAAAGCAAGTGTGCCTTACCACTCTACTGTCTCTGGCCCCTGGAGAAAAGCATTTTTATTATTATTTTGGTTTATTTTTGCTTTTTGGGTCACACCTGGCAATTCTCAGGCATTACTCCTGGCTCTGCGCTCAGGAATTACTCCTTGTGGTGCTCAGGGGACCCTATGGGATGCTGGGAATCGAACCCAGGTCAGCTGCGTGCAAGGCAAATGCCCTACCCGCTGTACTATAGCTCCAGCCCCAAAGCATTTTTATTAAAGGTTTAATACTAGAAAGATAATCAATGTTTTTTGTGCCCTGAGATGAGCTGAGGAAGAGTTTGTGGAGATGGAATGGTTCCCCAATCCCCAATGGAGCCCCCACATCACCCTCCTGCCACTTTCAGAAGAGACACCCTGAGGACCAGCTTCACTGGCAGCTAAGTCTTTAAGTCTTAGGAAGCCTCTTCTGTGGTCTCTCTGGGGGTGAAGCACTGGGCCGCATGGTTTTTGAGTCCCTTTTCCTCACTCAGCACCAGGTGCTTAAGTCATTGACACCGGTGCAGAGTTTTTGTTAAACCACATTCAAGTGTGGGCCCTGGTGGCATCTGTATCAACATGTTTTTATGGGCTCTGGTCCCCACCAGTGAGGCAATATGTTTCCCAGATGGCCAAACCTATGGGTTGGTCAGGTCAGGAGAATGCAGCTGCTTGGACGCCTCATTATGGGTCTCAGAGCCTGACAGGTCTAGGGAAGATTCAGTCACTCCTGGGAAGTTAATGACTTTCCCAAAGCATCCACCATTCCCAAGGGAACCAGTCTTTTAAGAAACAGGAGTGCCCCGATGTTACACCCCAGTACCTCAAAGGTGCCCCACAGTGGAATGCAGGGAGCTGTACCTCATCTTCTTCATAAAACTTGACTGCAAGTCTCAGGGAAGTGATCATGATACAGTGGAGCAGCCTCTCTTTTACCTGCAGTATGAGACAAACACATTGAATGCCAGCAACACACTTGTTTTTCAAAAAACAAGTTTTCAAAGGTAAAGGGTCTTGGACACGTGGGTGGGTGGGTGCAGTCGCTGTGTACATCAATACTATAAACTTAAATGCCATTATAACTCTATACCTAAACTACATTTTAAAAGTAAAAAAAAAAATCCACCCCGTTCCACCTCCCCTCCCCTGTATATGTATCTCAACAAGGAAGCTCATGGCATTTTCCACTGACCAAAGAAAATGCTGCTGGCTTCTCTCTTGGGGGCTGCTGGCAGCTCTCAGGGGATGTGTCCCATCCTGGCCTCTGGGCACACACCCTATCCCTGACACAGTTCCTCCCCTAACTGGGTCCTCTGCACCCCAAGTCCACACGGAGGGGAAGGCAGGTAGGAAAAGCAGCAGAGCCAAGAGAGGGAGGAGTGAGATGAGCCGGGGTTGAGGTCAGGGATGGCTGCCCTCTCCCGGGCACTGGGGCATAGAGGTCGGTTTTGTGCCTCTGCCGCAGTCCCTCCAAGGTGTGCCTACCTTGGCAGTAACCAGGAGGCACCAGGTTGTAAGTGGTCCCAGAGAATTCAAAGATGTTGTGAAGCTCCAGAAGCCTCAACACAACCTTCTGGAAAGCATCGCGTATTTCTTCCTGCGGGGGAGAGGGGGCACCCGCACAGGAAGTTGCTATGGCCTATGTCCCGTGCTAGAAGCCCCTGCCCAAGCTGAGCAGAGGGCCCTAGGGGGGGCCGCCCACCTTAACTGCAGTATATTCTATGCCTCTCTGCGCCTCAGCCCGCATCCCCACTCTAAGTCCTCAGCAGAAACCCCGGAGTCACACAGGCCCTCTTCCCAGCACCTACCAGGGAAGCCTTCCCGGGGCAGATGCCAGGACCTCGTGCGAGGACACACCAGGGGTGTCACGGGGCGGGCGGTGCGGCTCACCTGGGCGCATGTACAGCTGCTGTCCGTTCGTCTCCCGTGTACGCGCCAGGAGAGGGTACAGGTGCTCCCCGGATGGCTCCGCCGCGGGCCCCGGTACCTGGATGGTGCCGCCCCACCACAAGCGCGCCCCGAGGCCCTGCACCTGCGCTCATCCAGGTAGTGGTCGAGGTCGCTCAGCTTCAAAGCGAGGTGGGCTCAGAAGGGGACCCAGTGGGGGGCGCGTCTGCAGCCCCTCCCGTCATTCCGGGCCCCTCTCGGGACCTGCCCCAACTGTTCAGAGGCACAGAAACGAGCCGCAAGAGTGGCTGGGAAAGCCCCCCTGCGGGGCCGAGAGCACCGCAGAGGGAGGTTCAGGGTTGGGGGGGGGCTAGGGGGAGGAGGATGGAGATGGAGAGGGGAGGCAGAGGGCGCTGTGTATCCCACAGCGTCCAAGAACGTGCAGCTGCGGCCGCGGGGGGGGGGGGGGGGGGGGGGGGAGGTGGGAGGCGGAAGGTGGGCAAAAGGCAAACCCTCCCAAGTCAGGTGAGTAAATAAGGCCCCCACTTCCCCTCCTCCCACACCACCCAGCACTGCTCACCCACTCAGAGCCTCTCATGAACGCTTGGGACAGGCCAGAGGGCACCCTCGAGTCTTGACAAAGGGCCCCCTGTCCTACCTCACTTTGCGGATGGAGCATGATAAAAGAGGACAGAGCGCAGGGGTTCCAGTCCCTTATTTTAGCTTCTGCGCACACCAGAAGTTTGATTTTTTGCTTGTTTTGCTTTTTGGGCCACACCCAGCTGTGCTCAGGGGTTACTCCTGGCTCTGCACTCGGAAATGACTCCTGGCAGTGCTCAGGGGACCATATGGGATGCCGGAGATCTAACGTGCACTGCAAGCACCCTACCGAATGTACTATCGCCTCACCAGAGTTTTGGTTAATCGCCCCCCTTTTTGTTAGTTTGTCTGAGTTTTTGGATTACACCTGGAGGTACTCAGGGCTTACTTCTGGTTCTACACACAGGGATCAGTTCTAGCAAGGTTGAGGGACCATATGAGGTGCCCTGGCTAGAATCCTGGTTGGCCACGTGCAAGGCAAGCGTCCCCCCTGCTGCACTATCTATCCCCCCAGGCCTAACTAACCCTCTTTTTCTGGTTTTGGGGTCAACCCGGGGCTGCTCAGGAACTTTTTTAGGCTGGTAGCTCCCTGCGATGCTTAGAAGGCCTGTGGTAACCTTGGAAATCAGGCGCTCAGCCTTTCAGCCATCTCTTCAGCCTTAGTTACTTCTTTTTGGAGAGATAGTGCAGGAGTTTAGGCGCTTGCCTTGCACCTGGCTAACCTGGTTTCCATCTGGGCTTATAGTGTTAAAATCAAGATAGTGGTTACATTGGCGTGGAAGGTTGGGGAGACTGGGAATAGCGACTATAGAAAGTAACACAGAGCTTCTTGAGGGCTTGTAAGTATTATTGTAACTACACCTAAATACTAATTATACTGGTGTGCCCCATATGGTCCCCTGAGCACTTGTATGCATGATCACTGACTAGAGAGCCAGGAGTAAGCCCTGAGCACTGAAAGATGAGGCTCCCAAACCAAAAAAACAAAAGTTAAAAAGCACTGGTAGTTCCTTTCAAAGTAGCTCATTCATACATGTTTATTCATTCCGCACTTACTCAGTGAAGACCTACAGTGTGTTGGTACATTGAACAAATGTATAACACAGACTTCCAATGTGCATATACCTGACAAAACATCTGGTACATTTTGTGTACATTAAAAGACTCCTCAATAATGTTCTAAGTCACACTATTGTAATAGTTCCAAAGTGGATAAAAAGTGAATGTCCATCAACAACAGGAGGAGATGAATTGTGGTATAGTCACACAATAAAATTGTTTGCTGTGGAGATGTTACTGGGCCCGCTCAAGCAAAAATCAATGAACAATGGGAGGACAGTGACAGTGACAGTGACAGTAAGAAAAAGAATGAAGTATTGCTGTGTCCAATAAACTGGGACAATCTCACAAACAGATATTGAATACAGGAAGATATATCAAGTAAGATTACATATTTTGTGAATCCATTATATAAAAACAAGAACAATTATAATGTTAGAATCAACATAGTGGTTGCACTAGTGTGGAAGGTGGGGGAGACTGGGGATAGTGACTAGAAAGTAACACGGAGCATCTTGAAGGCTGGTAAGTATTATTGAACTACATCTAAATGCTAATTACACTGGTATGCTCACTTATGAAAATTGATCAAGATGTGCATTTATGATTTATGCATTTCTACTTGTATAAGATGTACACCATTAAAATGTAAAGTATTTATTAAATTTATATTAAATATGTGGAACTATAAAAAGGAGACAAAATAGAGAAAGGAATATAATATTTGAAGTGGTAAGACTGAGAATTCATACAAGTAATGTCAGTGCCAAATCATGTATCCGGGAAGTTCAGAGAACACCAAGCAGATTGAAAATCAAAAACTAGGGGGCTGGAGCAATAGCACAGCGGGTAGGATGTTTGCCTTGCACACGGCCAACCCGGGTTCAAATCCCAGCATCCCCACATGGTCCCCTGAGTACCTCCAGGAGTGATTCCTGAGCGCAGAGCCAGGAGTAACCCCTGAGCATTGCCAGGTGTGACCCAAAAAGAAAAAAAATCAAAAACTATACCTAGGCCTATAATATTCATGTAGAAAATCAAAGATAAAGAAAAAATGTTGAAGGGAGAGAGAGAGAGAGGGAGAGAGAGAGAGAGAGAGAGAGAGAGAGAGAGAGAGAGAGAGAATGGGAAGTAAGGTCCTTGCTTTCCATGTAACTGGCCTGCACCACATTTGATTCCCTGAACTCCACCAGGAGTACATCCAGGTCTGGCCTCAAAACAAAACAAAAAATCGTGCTTTTTTTTGTTTTTTGCCTTGGAGATAGTAATCAAACCCAGGGCCTCACAGTCTCTGCCTTTGAGTCACAAATACTGGATTTTTAAATGGAGATGGGGCTCAGATGTGGGAACAGACATTCTGAAGAAGGTGGAGAAGCTGGATGGATTTATAAAGGAAGGTTTTCCTCTTCCCCCGTTTTTTATCTGGACATTCTCACCATCCCTATATGTGATCTGGAAAATATTACTAATGACCTTGTCCTCAGTTTCTTTACTAAACTTTTAGTGTAAAATAGTTGTTTTTATTTTCTATTAAAATGATTCATTACTTCAAACATTTAAATTAAATTAAGAAAAAATACTTAGAACAGTACCCTGGCACTAAGTAAAATGCTTCAAATTTACTTTTTAGTACTGGGGATGGAACCAAGATCCTTACACGTGAAAGGCAAGTGCTCTAGTGCTGAGCACCATTTCAGGCCACTATAATCAGTAAGGGTAAGGTAAGGTAAAGGCCCTCCCATTGATCGTCGATTTGCTTGAGCGGGCCCAGTAACGTCTCCATTGGAGACTTTGTTGTTACTGTGTCTGGCATATCGAATACTCTCGGTAGCTTGCCGGGCTCTCCGAGAGGGGCGGAGGAATCGAACTCGGGTCGGCCATGTTGGCCGCGTGTAAGGCGAATGCCCTACCCGCTGTGCTATCGCTCCAGCCCTTAAACTAATTAATTTAACAAAAAATTAAATTAATTTTTTCTTTGTTTTTTGGGCCAAGTCCAGCTGTGCTCAGGGATTACTCCTGGTCTTGCTATTGGAACCATACATGGTGTCAGGGATTGAACCAGTGTCAACTGCCTGCAAGGCAAGTGCTTTTCTCATTGTGTTATCTCTCAGACCCGTTATAGTTATTTTTATTAGCTCCTACTTCCAGTGTTTGCCCTTGCATGCTAACACAGAAGCATGAATCAAGGAAGAGGCCAGATGGGCTGGTGCTGGATGAGTGAGAGGAAAGAATAAAATATGAAGTGTGGTGACTCTCACACTGTCATGTTGGAAATCACTGTAAGGTTTTAAAGGAGAACACAAGGTTTTAAGGGAAAACACAATATCATTGGTGGAAAGCAAGAGGCATTTTGGTGGTGGTATGGTGTCTAGCTCTATATCAGAACCACAAATGTTAATTCTATTGTAAGCATGTTACCAAAACCACAATTACAGCCACAACATTTTAATGTCCCACAAAAAATTTAATGTCTATTGATCTAGACATGGTAGCTCTCTATTGATATAAAGGAATGTTTGTATCAATAATAAATATGCAGGAATAAATATCCATATATATATATATATAATCCAGAGACTATAAAACCAAGCTCCTGGAAGAGAAAAAAGCAGAGTCTCCTACCCCTGTGTCTGACTGTCCTCACCAGGGCCTGACAGCTGAAGACCTCCAGGACCCAGCCAAAGCCATGCTGAGACCACTCTCCACATGCTTGGATGAATCTCACGCATGAAGGAACCAGCAGAGAACCCAGGTGTGCGGAACCCGGGGCTGAGATCTCCAAGCCTGCTCGGTTCGGGACTAGGCCTTCCAGTAGCTAGACAGTTATACCTACCAACTGCCATGTAATCCCATCAACGACCAGGATCCAGAGACTATAACACCAACCTCCCGGAAGCTTATTATTCTCTAGTTCTCACTCTCAGAGAACCCAGCAGGCTACTGAAAGCATCATACCAGCACATATGCCTGAATGGGAACACCTGTAAAGTTTATTTGTGTTTTCAGGCTACCGAGAATATCCCACCCACACGGCAGAGCCTGGCAAGCTATCCATGGTGTATTCGATATGCCAAATCCAGTAAATACAATGGGTCTCATTCCCCTGACCCTGAATATGGCAGCGTTGAGAAGGATGTGGAAGGAGAGGCTGATAAAATCTCAAGGCCGAACTAGGCTGCCAAAACGAAGAAAGACAAAAACTGACTGTCTGTACTTTCAATGCACGTATGCTGGCATCTGAGGTATCATCCATCTAGGACCTGATGGTACAAGCGCAAAAGATCAAGTATGACATCATTGGTTTGATGGAGATGAGAAGGCATCAATCACATCACGCCGTTTTCGACACTGGAGAAGAACTGTTCCTTAGAACATGTGAAAAAAGAGGTGTCGGTGGTGTCGGTGTTCTTGTCAACACAAACTTTGAGCTTTGATTCATTCAACAGACTAACAACCCCAATCAGACAATTACACTTGAATAGATGTGGCTCACTGCCGGCAGTTTCTATCTTTGTTGTCTACGCACCAATATCCAATTATGATGAAGGAGAAATTGAGAAGTTCTACATGGAGCTGGAGAAGTTCTATAAAGAATACCACACCTTCTGCAAGATCATTGTCAGTGATTTTAATGCCAAGATAGGACCGAGAAGATCAGCTGAAGAACTCCACATCAGGACCCATGGCCTGGAATGGAACAAACAGGGTGACAGACTGTCTGAGTTCATCATGTCGACCAAGACCATCCATGGTAACTCACAGTTCCAGAAGGCCGAATCTAAACGTTAAACATGGGAGTCTCCCAGTGGACGGTTCCACAACAAAATAGACCACATCATATTCAATCGACGGTTTTGCCTGACTGATGTTGCTGTTATCCCAAAATTCCAAACAGGATTGGACCACTGTCTCCTTCGTGCAAAATTCTACTTCACAGAGTGGAGAGAAAGGAATGCAAAGTTTAAGAAGAGACTCACAGAATGACCACCAACTGGGAGCTCTTTGGCTCTGTTGCGGCAACATGGAAAGATGCTGTCATTGACAACATTGATGAGGAATACGATCGATGTATTCGATCGTATACAATCGATGTATACAATCGATGTATACGATCGGTGGTTCAGCACCTCCATGTTTGTGCGAGGAATGCCAAGAGAGAAATAGCCACACACACAAAAAAATGCCTGTCTTCGAAAACTCTTGAGTTTATTTGCCAACGTGGCTTGGCGCATGCTTCAGGCAACTGCAAATGAATGTCTGAGCTCGCAAAGTAGTGCAGAGAAGCAATCAAGGAAAACCTCAAAGAGAGAAGAGCAACAGTGCTGGTAGATGCGGCAGAAGCCGGAAAAAGCATTCGTAACGCCCGCCTGTCCTTCACCAACTACAAGACCAAGATGACTGCCCTCCGACGTCCTGATGGATCTATCACATCTTCCAGAAGGGCAATGGAGAAGATTATTCATGACTTCTACTCAAATCTCTTTAATAGCCACGTCCACCTCCCTACGTACCAAATTCCACAGGATGGATATGTCGTTCCCAACATTCTCCCTTCCGAAATCCGACATGCCATCTAGTCGGTAAAGAAACAAAGAGCACCTGGCCCAGACAAGGTCAGACCCGAACACCTGAAGAACCTACAGTCAGTACTCATCAATACACTGGCTCGGCTCTTCACATGCTACCTGTCTGAATGCAAGGTTCCATCCCAATGGAAAATCAGCAGGACTATACTACTATACAAGAAGGGAGGCATCCACGACATTGGCAACTATCGCCCAATCTGCCTATTGTCTGTCATCTACAAGCTGTTCACTCGAGTCATCCTTAATAGGATTGGCAGAACAGTAGATGAAGGACAACGATGCGAGCAAACCGGGTTCCAAAAAGGGTTCAGCACCATCAACCATATCCACACCATAACCAAGCTCATTGAGGTTACTCGGGAGTTCAAGATGCCGCTTTGTCTAATGTTCACTGATTTAAAGAAGTCCTTTGATTCTGTTGAGACTGAAGTGGTCATCGAAGCCCTAGCCAATCAGGGCGTTCAAACTCAATACATCAGGATCCTTCGTGAGCTGTATTATGGATTCACTACTAGGATCTCACCATTCTGCAAAGAACCGGTCATCAATGTCAAGAGAGGGGTTCGGCAGGGTGATACTATTTCACCGAAACTCTTCAGTGCCACCCTTGAGAACATCATGCAATGACTGGAATGGGAAGGAATGGGAATGAAGATATATGGTCGGCAACTACACCACCTCCGCTTTGCTGATGAGATTGTTCTAATAACACCAAACATTATCCAAGCGGCACAAATGCTGGCCGACTTCGACCATGAGTGTGGAAAGGTTCGACTACAGCTGAATCTTACAAAGATAATGTTTATGAGAAACAACCTCGTTCCTGACGCTCCATTCACTCTCAATGGAACGACCATCTCCTAATGCAACAGCTATGTATACCTAGGTCGAGAAGTCAACATGATGAATGACCTGGCACCTGAGTTGCGCAGGAGGAAGAGAGCAGTTTGGAACGCCTTCAAGAGCGTCGAAGAAATAACTAAGAGGACGAAGAACCTCCGGCTTTGGGCACATCTCTTCAATTCCACTGTTCTTCCTGCATTAACATACGCCTCAGAGATCTGGGCCCTATGAAAACAGAATGAGAACGCTATTTGGGTCTCTCAAAGAGAATCAAAAGAGGTTCATGCTTCAATCATGCTTCAATCAAAGAAGAGAAAGAATCCAGAGTTCCAACCTCCGTCAATGATTGAGAACCAGGGACACTGTCTCGTTTGCCAAGGCATCGAAAATCAGATGGGCTGGACACGTAAAGAGATTTAGAGACGACTGCTGGACTAGAGCCATTACCAACTGGTTTCCATGGGACGTCAAAAGACTGCGTGGCCACCCACCTACAAGATGGTCAAACTTCTTCGTCAAGACCCTGAATGATCGGTTTGAGGCTCTTTGTGTTCCTAGAACGACCAGTTGCCACTGGGCTATGCTAGCATGCAACAGGGATGAATGGAGACGTTACTGGCGCCCGCTCGAGCAAATCGATGAGTAACGGGATATAAAGTGATCAAGTGATGATTTTGCATATTAAACATAAATGTGAAAATATTAAAAAACTAAAAAATAGGGCCAGACTGATAGTATAGTGGATAGGACGTTTGCCTTGCACATGTTGATCTGGGTTCCATCTCTGTACCTCATATGGTCCCCCAAGCCTGCCAGGAGTGATCCCTGAGGGCAGAGCCATGAGTAAGCCCTGAGCCTAGCAGGATGTGCTTCTTCCCCAATACCCACCCCAAGACAATATCAAATTCATGTTTTAATACGATTTTTTTCTGGTTCGCATGTTAAAAATAGCCACATGGACAAGATGCTGCAAGGACACGAGTTCTGAGCTCTTGTAACAAGGTAAAAGGTGATTCTGGTTTGACTTTGAAGATAGACAACAAACTCCATTGGCAGATTAGGCACACCAGAGCAATACATGCAATTCAGCTTATATTTACTGCCATTTGGGACTTCATCATCCATCGAGGGGCCCCCAAACCCTCTCAGCCCTCTTTAATGGGGTTGGGGACTAGTGGGGGCCGGGACTGAGAGTTCAATTTTGTACAACAGCACTCGGGAATGCTTCAGACACACTTAACTGGAGTGGTACTGAGAGCAAAGGTTCAAACAGAAAAGAGGACACATCAATCTTCCACAAATACTTATTGAAAAAACCATCTTCTGCCAGGTTCTATTTTAGGTCCCTTCGCAGACACTAGAGATCCTTGGGAGAATAAGGGCACATCTCCTGACGACCTTGGCGCTGTATCGTTTGGGAAGTCTTTCGCTTTGCAGAGGCCACTGGCATTGTGCTTTCTAACCCTTGGAGCACAGCAAGCAGCGTAGAAGGGCTTTGTGATCTAAGGGCGCCCTCTCCCCGGAATCATAACCCCCGGGCAGTGCGGGCGGGAGACTCGGGGCTGGGTGGGGGGGAGGGGATGTACGACTGCGCAGGCGCGGCTCGGCCCGGCGTCCTAGGAGACCGACTCAGCGCACGCGTGATTCGACGGGGCGAGGAAGCCCGGGCCGGGCGCTAGGGCGGGGCGAGCTCGGAAGGCGCCTGCGCACCGCGCGCTCTCGCCCGAGGAACCGCAGTGTTGAGAGCGCCCAGGCGGGGTGTGGGTGCCTCTCGGGCCAGGCTCTCCCGCCACCCCGGCGTCGTTGGACTGCACCCAGGGCGGGGACGTGCGCCGGGCACGGGAGGGAGCCAAGATGCCGGTGAGGAGAGGCGCTCAGCCTTCAGGGTGGCCGCTTCATCTCAGCGGCCTGGCTGGGGGCGCGGCCGTTGCCATGGAGGCGCGGGCGCGGGGATGGGGCCGGACTGGGCCCGGCCGAGCGGGCCGGTGCGGGTGAGGCGCCTGGGCGGCTGCGGCCCGTGACGGTGCCGAGGGGCCCGGGCCCGGCCGCCCGCGTCCTTGCTGCAGCCCGCCAGGCCTGCGTTGCCCGACATAAAGGCGCTGTGCGGGAGGATGCGCTCCGCCTCGCAGCCCTGCCCACTGGGTGGGACGGCGGGGAGCAGCGCCGAGGGGCGGCTGCCGACGCTCCGCACCCCGCGGCGGGGGATGTCCGCGCCGCCTGGCTCAGCCCCGAAGGCGGCCGAGTCGGGCGCGGGCGGGGTGTGCGTGTCCCTCCGGCGCCCGAGCCCGAGCTGTCATTTCGCTCGTGGCCCCGTGGCCTCCCGTGCAGTGTCACCCGTAAGGTGTCTTTGTGTGTGAGCGCCTGGCGGGGATTAGGGGGCGGGGAGTGGGTGCGGGCAGGTTGGCACCGGTGGTTCTCAGCGTATTTGATCAGGGGGCGACCCCAGTCTGCTCTGGGGTCATGAAAAGCACCGGTGCGGCGGCCGAGTCTTTGCTGGTTGCGAGGCCCCGGGTAAACTAATCGATTTTTCTGGGGGCAGATCGTTCCCACGTAATTAACCCTCCCCCCCCCCCCATGGGGCGGTTATTGGGTCTGAAGTTAGATGATGCACGGGAGACCAGAGGGACAGTTCTTGACACCCAGCAGTAGATGTACACCATTTGGACCTTCTTGCATTCGGGCTGTTTGTTAATTTATTCAGCAAACGGTGGATGCCAACAACACGTTAGGCCCAGGAGACCTCATCAGCTTCAGCCTGGCGCGTGTGGGGAAGGAGAACCTTGCCTTTCCAGGCAGAGGAAAGCTGCCCCAGTTTAGAGACAAGACACTTGACTGTAATGCAAGAGATAGAATGGGTGGCGTGAAACGGATAGAAATAGATTGTCATGAATAGGCTGTAAAGGAATGCCAGCTTGCTGATGTCACTTCATCTGTCTTTAGAGGATCTGAAGTGTGTATGTGTATATGTGAAATTTTCAATTGAGAACTTTAGCTAATGGGGCTGGAGAGAATAGTACAGGGGATAAGGTACTTACCTTGTATGCAGTCAACCCATGCATGCAGTCCTTTCCTTGCATATTGTCCTCTGAGCAGGTCTAGGAGTAGTCCGTGAGCACAGAGCCAGGAGTATGCCCTGAGCACCTCCTGATGTGGTCCATAAGTAAAGTCAAAAGATTTTTAAATATGAGGGGCCCAGAGTAATAGTACAGTGGGTAGGCCCAGTTTTGATCTTTGGCATCCCTGACAACCATCAGGAATAAGTGCAGTGCCAGGAGTAAACCCTGAGAACCGTGGGGTATGACCCCCAAATAAAAGCAAACAAAAGAAAAGATTTTGAATACCACCAGGTAAGCAAAAGACATTTGTGGGCTGAATTCAGTCCTTTTACTGTTTGCAGCCTCAGGTTTTGACCATCAGACATTGATCCAATAAGAAGCAAACAGGAATTGTGAAACTGGTTTTTGGAGAGATGAGGGTGCTCTGGGGCTATGTAGAAGGGTTTGACCCATTCATGGAAATCTTCCCAAATAAGGTGGCTATTGGGAAGAGACCTGCAGGATATCTGAAGAGAGTAATGTTGTAGGCATGAAGAAATAGCTGATGCGGTGAGAAGTTGCTTGTTGACTCAGAAAGGCACAGAAGAAAGCCAATGCGGCTGTGGCTGAGAGTGCCAGGCAGGGAAAGTGGTGAAGGAAGGCTGGAGTTGAAAGGACCAGTGGTCTTACAGACCACTTTAAGGATTTTGATTTTTGTCTTGCCATTTGTGGCAAGCCAAGCCACTGAAGAGTTTTAAGTAGGGGAGGAGGTCATTAGACTTTTTTTGAATCTGACTGCCTGGGGACAGCCTGGGGAACTTATTTAGATGCAGGCATACATTAAGGATTCTCTGATAACCCTGGGGTGGAAAATGGAGATGAAGAGAACACCATTCTATTGATACATAATTTGTTCCTTGGATAATTTGACCATGGATTCCGTTTTTCTCTAGTGTTTAGAAGAGTCTCTGAAACAGTAGAAATTTAACAAATATCTACTCAAATATTGAACTTTATTTCAATAATTAGTTTTTTTGTGTGTGAGGGAATTGAAGCTATGGCTTCATAATACTAAACTATATTCCTGACCTGGGTTATATTTTAATATATATTCTTAATTTAAAATATTTCAGTTATAGAAAACCCTACAAATACATATATTTGAAAAGTTAGTTATTTTTTGCATTTTTAAAAAAATATTGTGGGTTTTCTGTCTTGTCTTCCATAGAGATGATTAAGATTATATATGAATATATCATATAATAAAAGCATTTGACTAATGTGTTAGAGAAAATAAAAATAGTCTTAGGAGAACAAGGTCTCTACTACTCTAATCTTAAAGTTTTTGTTTGTTTGATTTTGGGTCATACCATCAGTACTCAGATCTTACTCCAGGCTCTACTCAGGGATCATTCCTGGTGGGCTTCTGGGGGACCATATGTGATGCTGTTCAGCTGTGTTGCAGGGCAAGTGCCTTACTTGCTGCATTGTTTCTCTGGCCTGGCCTGATCAGAGTACTTCTTTTTTTTTTTTTTTTTTTTTTACAGTGCTAGGAATTAAACCCAGGGCCTCCTGTAAGCAAGGCAGTTACTCCACTGCTGAATGATTCCCCTGACTCATAGATATTAGATTTTGCATAGTTTTTTCTCCCCTGCGCCATCCTTGCAATTTGGGGAAAACTCAGTGCTGAGGATCAAACGTAGGTCTACCCACATGGAAAGCATAAACTCCAGCCCTCTGAACCATCTCCCAGGGTCACTTGACCAAAGATGTTAACTATTAACATTTGTTTTCCCATTTAAGTTGGAAACTCAGAGGAGATTAGGGATTTTGTGCCAAAAGTCTTGATATACCTGATTTGTATTTTGTTAAAATAGCGTTAAATGTAAATTGGGCTTTCTTTCCCCATTTATATTATATTTTTATTTATTTACGGCATTGGGGATTGAACCTAGGACCTCTTACCTGCAAAACATGTGCTCTACCATTGGATAACTGGCCATTTTTGTATTGTAAAATATTATCTTCCTTTTTATTATTTTATTATTTTGGTTTTGGGGCCACACCTGGTGTTTTTCAGGGGTAACTCCTGGCTGTGCATTAGGCAAACTCCCTCCCTCTGTACCATCTTTCCAGTTCCTGTCTTCTTTTTTAATATATTTAATTTTTTTCTGTATATCTATAAGATTTTTAGCACAGCAGTAGGGCGTTCGCCTTACAAGCGGCCAACATGGCCGACCCGAGTTCGATTCCTCCGCCCCTCTCGGAGAGCCTGGCAAGTTACTGAGAGTATTCGATATACCAGACACAGTACAACAAAGTCTCCAATGGAGACGTTACTGGGCCCGCTCAAGCAAATCGACGATCAACGGGAGGGCCTTTATTATTATTATTTATTAATTGCTTCTAATAACTATGGGATGCTTAATATGTGCAAGTAGCTGATATGGTAAAATAATTTTTTCCAAATTTTAAATTAAATTTGTTGGAAGTAGGAGACTCATATAAATATTTTCTTCATCAGATCAATAAATCAGAGAAGCCAGAAAGCTGTGATAATGTGAAGGTGGTTGTTAGATGCCGGCCCCTGAATGAGAGAGAGAAATCAATGTGCTACAGACAGGCTGTCAGTGTGGATGAAATGAGGGGAACTATCACTGTCCATAAGACTGACTCTTCCAACGAACCTCCAAAGACATTTACTTTTGATACTGTTTTTGGACCGGAGAGTAAACAACTTGATGTTTATAACTTAACTGCAAGACCCATTATTGATTCTGTTCTTGAAGGCTACAATGGTGAGTATTTTATATAATTTATTTAAAATACTTTTCAAGATATTATTAAAACTCCATACATCCACTCGTCGTAATTGCTTAGTTTGATGAGTTATGGTAGTCAACCCAGTTTTATCATGCCAGTGTGATCCTTTATGTTCCATCCCCAGGTTACCTACCATTCATTTATCTGCTTTCTGTCTATAGTTTTGCCTTTTCTCAAAATTGCACATAAATCAAAAGAACACATAAATCAGCTAAATCTATCTTATTTTGTTTTACCCAGTTTTTAATTTTTGAAGCTTCTATGTTGTATCTGTCAGCAGTTTATCCTTTTTATTGCTGAGTTGTATTCCATTTGTTTGAATGTACTTTCTGGCATTATTTGATGAACTATAGATTGTTTCAGTTTTTTTGCTGTTATAATTTATGCTACTTTTAACACTTGTATAGACATGTTTTAAAGTTTCTCTTGGACTGGTACCAGTAGTAAAATTACTAGATCAGATAGTTTCTTTTAGAGGAGCTATCAAATTCCAAAGTGGTATTATAGTACTGCTTTTTTTTACCCCCACCAGCATGGCATGAGAATTTCAGTTTCTTCATATTCTTGCCCCTCTCGGAGAGCCCGGCAAGCTACCGAGAGTATCTCACCCGCACGGCAAAGCCTGGCAAGCTCCCCCTGGCGTATTCGATATGCCAAACACAGTAACAACAAAGTCTCACAATGGAGACGTTACTGGGCCTGCTCAAGAAAATCAATGAACAACAGGAGGACAGTGACAGTGACATTTTCTTGCCAACATTTAGATTATCAGTGTTCTTAATTACAGCCATTCTAGAGAAGTTGTATTGACATCTCATTGTTTTGTCACTTGTTTTTCTCTAATGACTGAAAATACTAAATGTATTAAACATTTGTAACTTTAGTAGGATAACTCTTAAATATTTTATGCGTTTTTAAATATGCTGTCTTCATGTACTTTGTATTTACTTATTGATCAGGTAAATAATTTTAAAACATTTTCTCCAGTATGTGGCTTGTCTTTATTTTCTTAATTACTCAGGAATTACTCCTGGTGGTTCTTAGGGACATATGGGATGCCGTGGATTGAACCTGGGTCAGCTGCATGTAAGGCATATGCCCTACCCACTATACTAACACTCCGGCCCCAAGTTATATTCTCTTTTTTATTTACTTTTTTATTTTTGCTTTATTTTATTTTTTTGCTTTTTGGGTCACACCCGGCAATTCACAGGGGTTACTCCTGGCTCTGCGCTCAGGAATTACCCCTGGCGGTGCTCAGGGGACCATATGGAATGCTGGGAAACGAACCTGGGTCTTCCGCGTGCAAGGCAAATGCCCTACCCACTGTGCTATTGTTCCAGCCCCTATATTCTCTTTTTAAAAAATTTTTTTAAAGTTATTTTGATTTACCTAGATCCTTTGCATTTTATTATGAATTTTAGGATCACCTTGTTAAATTCCATACATTATATATGTATATATATTTATATACACACATATACATACATACATACATATGTATATTGTATATATATCTGTCCATTTTTTGGCTAGGGATTTGCTGATTTTTTTTTTTTTTTGGTGGGAAGAGGATGTAGGCTATTCTTGACAGTATTTAGGGGCTTCTTCTGACTCTACTTAGAGTCATATGGTTCCACTTTTGGAAGTTCTTAGAGAACCATATGTTGTCACACAGATTGAACTGGTGTCAGCCGCATGCAGAGCAATGGACTTAACCCATGTTCTATCTCTGTCTCTTGAATAATTTTGACAATATGAAGTCTTTCAACTAGTAACCACGTTATCTAGCTCTATGTCTTGTTTACTTTCACATATCAGTATTTTGAAGTTGGTTTTTTTTTTTTTTTTTACTTTCTGGTCACACCCGGCGATGCACAGGGGTTACTTCTGGTTCATGCACTAAGGTATTACTCTTGGCAGTGCTTAGGGGACCATATGGGATGCTGGGAATTGAAACCGGGTTGGCCAAGTGCAAAGCAAATGCTCTACCCACTGTGCTATCACTCCAGTCCCAGTATTTTGAAGTTTTTGATATAGAGATTTTATACTTTTTTTTTGTGTGTGGGGGGGGCATATTAGCTGGCAGTGCTCAGGGATAACTCTTTGTTCTGCACCCAGGAATTACTTCTGGTGGTGGTCAGGGGACAATATGAGATGCTGGAAATTGAATCCAGGTTGGCCATGTGCAAGCCAAGAACCTACCCATGGTGTTACTATCTCTCTAGCCCTAGTTTTGTACTTCTTTTGGATAAATTTATTACTATTTTGCTATTGTGAATAGAACTGCTTTTATAATTCCATTTTTTGAACTGTAAATTGTTACCATAAAAATTCAATTAAGATATTTTTAATGAGAAAATTCAAATGTATTATTTTAACCATTTTATAGTATGCACCTTTTGATGTTGTTGTTTGGGGGGCCTCAGCTAGCGGTACCCAGGGCTTACTGCTGGCTCTGTGCTCAGGGCTCATTCCTGGCGCTTCTCGGGAGACCATATGGGCTGCTAGGAATTGAACCCAGGCTGACCACATGCAAGGCAAGTTGCCTTACCTGCTGTACTATCTCTCTGGCACCTATGTAAGTTGTTTTTAATATGTTCATTAGTGTTATAAAACTATCACCATTTTCCATTTGCAGAACATTCCATCATTCAAAGAGAAACTCATGAGTCTGGAGAGATAGTACAGTGGGTAAGATGTTCTTGCTTGCCTTGCATGCGGCTGACCTGGGTTCAATCCCCAGCATCCCATGTGGTCTCCCAAGCCATGCCAGGAGTGATGTCTGAGTATAGTCAGGAGTAAGCCTTAGGTACCACCAGGTGTGCTGCACACCACCCTCTCTTCCCATCCAAATGAAAACAGGCAGCGCATGTAAACTTTACTCCCAATTCTGCTCCCTCTTACCCTGGCAACATATTTTCTTGTATTTGGATTTGCTTTTTTGAAACTTTGCTATAAACAGAAAGTTATAGAGTGGGAAAGTTACAATTATACAAACTTGGATGATATATCCTACTCCACACTTAGAAGATACCTAGTAGCCTATTGGGACTACTGTGTATCTGTTATTAAGAACATGACTACCGTATTTTGCTTATCCATTCATCAATTGATGAACATTTGGACCCACTCTCACCTCTGCCCCACTTTTATAAATAATGTTGCTGTGAACATTTTTGTACAAGTTTTTATGTGGATGTATGTCTTCAGTTCACTTGACCGATTTTTGTATACATATGTACATGTATTTATATATACACATATAGTCAAAAGATTAGTTGCCAGACTTCTCCACAGTGGCTGCATGATTTTTACATTCTCATTAACAATGTATGAGGTTTCTAACTCACATCTTTGCCAAAACTTACCAACCTTTTTGATTATGGTCTTCCTTCTGGTGTCTCATTGTGCTTTGTAGATTTACCTTGAATCCTGTAACACTGCATATTATTCTTAGTAGACTTTTGGTTATTGTTAATTTCCTAGAACTTTCTGTGTCCCAGAGGTTGCCAAATGTAATACCATTTCTGTATTTTGCCTTTTTGTTAATTGTACTGTGATTTTTTTTTTCTTTTTTGCTTTTTGGGTCACACCTGGCAGTGCTCAGGGTTCACTCCTGACTCTGTGCTCAGGGGGACCATATGGGTGCCAGGATCATGAACCCTGGTCAGCTACGTGCAAGGCAAATGCCCTACACACTGAACTATCTCTCTGGCCCCTATGATATCTTTAAAATTATTTATTTATTTTAATTTTTTTGGGCCACACTTGACAGTGCTCTTGATTTACTCATGGCTCTGCACTCAGGAATCACTCCTGGAGGTGCTTGGGGGACCATATGGGCTGCTGGGAATTGAATCCAGGTTGGCACATGCAAGGCAAGTTCCCTGCCCGCTGTACTATCTCTCAAGATCCTCATTTTAATTTTGGTTTTATTCTTTTGGTCAATCCCAGTAGTGCTTGGGTACCATATGCGGTGCTGGGGATCAAGCTAGGGTCTGTTGCCTATTCAAGACTGGTGCCTTGGGACTGGAGTGATAACACAGCAGATAGGGTGTTTGCCTTGCACGTGGCTGACCTGGGTTCTATTCCCAGCATCCCATATATTCCCCTGAGCACCGCCAGGAGTAATTCCTTAGTGCATGAGCCAGAAGTAACCCCTGAGCATCACCAGGTGTGACCCAAAAAAGCAAAAAAAATTAAAAAAGAGAGAAAGACTGGTTCCTTACCCCTTGTACTGTCTCTGACCCTGCATTGTAATTTTTTTTCCCCCCCTGGTCACACTAAGCATTGCTCAGGGGTTACTCCTGGCTCTGCACTCAGGAATTACTCCTGGTGGTGCTTAGGGGACCATATGGGATGCTGGGAATTGAACCCGGGTCGGTTGCATGCAAGGCAAACGCCCTCCCCACTGTACTATTGCTCCAGCCTCTGCATTGTAATTTCTTAATTTTATTTTCTGATTTATTTATTTATTTTTGGCTAGAACTCTAGTACAATGTTGACTAGAGATGGGAGAGTGAACATTTTGTTTTGTTTCTGATCTCAGGGAGAGAACATTTACTCTTTTACCAATAAGTATGATATCTTTAGATATTTCATAGACATCTTTTATAAGTTGAGGAAGTTCCCATGTGTTTGCTGAAAAATTTTATTTTTGAACTGTATATTGGATTTTGTCAAGTGCAGTTTTAATGGTCTCCACCCCTTTTCTCCCTATGGTGATGACTAGGGGTTGCACACTTAGTTTGCTTGTTTTCAGTGTGTCTCATAGTACACACTGGAGAGATAGCACAGCAGGCAGGGGACCTGTGTGCTGGGTGTCACAAATGGCAGTGCTGCTGGATTGGCATGTGTGGTGCTGGGAACTAAGCTTAGTAGTAGAGTGCAAGCCAGAACTCTACTACTGAGCTACATCCCCCACACTGGTTTTTCTTTTCTAAAATTTTATTAGTGTGATTTCTTTTATTTT